ACCCTGGCACTGGTTCCCACAGTGGTTTCCACTCCTAAGTCTGCTCCAATAAGCCATGACTCCCTGTATTAACATGTCCATCTCCCCAGTCTTGGGGGCAATAGTTTACCCTATGTTCTTACCTCTCTTTCAGATCCAAAGTTAAGTTGTTGATTTTTCAGACTGTTTAATTTTTCACTTGTTCTTAGGACAGAATGGTAACCTCCAAATTCCATTCTATGAAACTGAAAACCAAGTCCCATCTTCTTGAGTACAGGATGCTCAGCTGAATCTGCCAATTCTTTTCCATATCTAGCTTGCCTTTACCATTGTTAATGTAGTTCTGCTCTCCTTTCCAGTGGCCTTCTTAGATAAGTTGAGGAAACTCACTTCACTGCACAGACATGTTCTGTTTTACCCTGAGAGAAGCAGAGAAGCCATGGTGAACAGAAAATAGAGAGCAGCCCACTTACCTGACCATACATTTCAGTGGATTAAGTTCTGTGTTTCCAAGGACATATTTGTGGTCTCGCCATGTGATTTCTTCATTAGTATAGTATAAACTCTCAGAGAAGCTGAAGTCAGAGTATGACCCAGACTGTTCTGATGATCTTCTCCTGAGAGTCCTCATCTAATAGTGGTCATTTTGTTCTTTTTTTATGCATCTGTGGTAGTGTTTGCTATCCAATTTTTTAAAACTAGACAATATATTGTGTAGCTATGCATATATCAGAGAGCCTTCCATGCCTGTGGATTCTGAACTTCACAAGTTTTCCAAGAAGAAACCTCTTAAAAAAGGTTCTGAGTGCACATAGTTTATTTTGGAGGTAATCCTAAGAAACATTGGTAGGGGAGTAAGTAAGTGAAACAAGAAAGGGTAGGCAGCCAGGAAAGGTTATGCTATCTAACAAATTACCTCTTTGGGTAACTGGAATTCAATACTGCTAGAGAATTTTGGGAGTCAGAGTTATTTTATCATGCTCCAGCTTTCTCAATCATTGTTTGAAGTTGATGGGCTTATTAGTTCTTGGCACTTGTAGCCAAATTTGTGGACATCAAAATGACCTTGGTGGTCAAAGATGGCCTTAAGCAAAGCAGTATAGATGCTGGCTGTTGGAGGTTGGCTAGTAAGAGGTAAAGCATAGCAGATATGGGCGGGGCACCAACAGCATCTACCATAGGAGAAAAACCTTAAAACAAAGCAAGAGAATGACCTATCCAAAAGTTAGGGAAAGTGGATGTGATCCTGTTGGAGGTAACTAGAAGGAAGAGGGCTAGAGAGAAGAGTGTTCAGGGCTTCTAAGCACCTGAAGATGTTCTATTTCTTATCCTCGCTGGTGAGTACATGGTAGTAATTCTTTATACTACACATATATGTGTTATACACTCTTCTGTGAATGATACATATTTCACAGAAAAATTTTATTTAAAATAATGAAAGTTTATATTAAAAATTTCAATACTAACCAATTAAATATTAAAGGATCATATCTTGTGTATAGAAGTAATAAGACCATATGAAATTACTGCACTAAAAGAATAGTTTAGCTTTTTATTCAGGACAAAAAAAAAATGAAATGCTGCTAAATATTGATGCTGACAGTGTTTTTCTCCTGTAAGTGACTCAAGCATATTATAAATAGTTGGTAAAGAGAATGGAGCCTGTGGATTGAGGAAAATGTTGCACCAGCTGTGCCCAGACTGAGTATGACAGCTTTATGATTATGGGAAAACAAATTCTTAAAACTTTTTTTCTATTCCAAAGATTCTTTCTATGGGGTGGCCATAAATCTAGAAATACAGATGATACAATTTTGTCATTCTTTGTAATGTAATATCAGTAAACCATTTATTAAAAAAATAAAGTCTTATGGATCAGTAAAAAAAAGCACATGTCTTCTTTGCCTGATTTGGGATGAAATTGAAAGAGATTCAGAAGTCAGAGAGATGGAAATCACATATTATCTTTATTACTGATAAAGATAATTAAAAAAATATAGCTTCAAATCTGCAGCTCAGTGGACTTGCCATTTCTTCCTTCCGGAGTAGACCTTACCAGCCATAACTGGCACAGCTAGACAAGCAAGACCTCCTTTTTTTAGGAGTGAGAACAGAACAAAAAGCATGCTTTCTGCCATTGAACAGACCTAACAAAAGAATCCAAAAGTGGCTGAGAGCAATTCCTTCTCCTAAACTCTCCTATAGGTTTAGTCACTTTTTCTCTGGTAATGAGTGAATGAGGGACATAGAGAGGCCAAGGTGTTAATTTAGTTGAAGTTCCCTGTAAAGATTCATAGAAAGTGACGAAAAAATTTTCCATCTAACAGTATACATATGGTAACTTATGATAAAAGTGGCATTTCAAATAAATGGATAATTCAATAAATGTACTAGTATTCCCGGGTAACTTTTAAAAATATAGTTAAATCCTACAACTGTAGACTTCATAAAGCCAGCTTGTTTTCTATGTATATTATGCTATAATAAAATATTTTTTATAAAAACGTGATATGAGCTCATTTTTATTAAAAAAATACACACGTGTTTGTTTGTATGTGAATCTGGAAGGATGTACACCAAAATGTTAGCAGTTATTATCTCTGGGTGATGGAAATACAAGTCATATTTATCTTTTTTCTTCTTTTTTAATAGTGAGCATATCTTTTTACTCAGCTAAAAAGTAAAATTATTTTTCTATGTTATATGGCTAATTGTTCTCTTTTTATAGTCTGAATTAAACTAGTAGATAGAAACAGTATTTTAAAATGGGTAAAAACTATTTAGATATATCGTAGACTCAGAAATGCTCAAAACACAGGTACAGTTGGGAATACTTTTTTCTGATACTAGTTAAAACTTTCTTTAGTAGGTGGGGTGCCTCAGTGGCTCAGATGGTTAAGTGTCTGCCTTCAGCTCAGGTCATGATCCTGTGGTCCTGGGATCAAGCCCCTTGTACGGCTCCCTGCTCTTCCGGAAACCTGCTTCTCCCTCTCCTGCTCCCCCTGCTTGTGTTCTCTCTCTGGCTGTCTCTCTCTGTGTCAAATAAATAAAATCTTAAAAAAAAAAAACCTTTCTTTAGTAGAATATAGCAGTATAAAACTGGAAAGTCAAAAAAAAAACAACCCAAAAACTTTCTTTAGTAGAATATAGCAGTTTAAAATTGGAAAGTCACAATCATTCAATTTTTTTTTTTCAAGAAACAGACTCAACTATGGAGAACAAACTGATGATTATCAGAGGGGAGATGTGTGGGAGAATGGGTTAAATAGGTGATGGGGATTAAGGAATGCACTTTTTGTGATGAGCACCAGGTATTGTATGGAAGTGTTGAATTATTGTACACTTGAAGCTAATATTACACGGTATGTTAACTAACTGGAATTTAAATAAAAACTTAAAAAAACTCCACCCCCCCCAAAAGGAACAAAAAACAATCACTATTATTTATTGTTTCATTTTGTACATTGTATTACGTCATATGGTTTGAGATTTTTTATTTCTTAGGTTAATTTATTCAAATATATAAATGTCATGATGGTACCCAAACTAAAATTACCAATGTTGGGGCGCCTGGGTGGCTCAGTCGTTAAGCGTCTGCTTTGGCTCAGGTCATGATCCCAGCATCCTGGGATCAAGCCTTGCATCAGGCTCCCCGCTCCGCAAGGAGCCTGCTTCTCCCTCTCCCACTCCCCCTGCTTGTGTTCCCTCTCTCGCTGTGTCTCTCTCTGTCAAATAAATAAATAAAATCTTAAAAAAAATTACCAATGTTATTTATCTTCAAACAAGAAACAACTTTAAATCACCCTAACATTTTATATTGTTCATTTATAACACATACCTTTATTTATGTAGCAATTGTTGCTGACGATGTAGCGATATATCTCTATATACTCAAATTACTAAACTTTCAGTTAAAGGAAGAAAAAGAAGGTTAGGTAATTCAATATTCAAAGACATATTTTTTTATGTTCTTTTACTTTATGAACATGGAAATTGTACCCTTTTCAAATCAGCAAAATAGATGAGGCATTCTGTGTATAACTTTGTTAGATTATTAAGATAAGTTCAATAAAGTAGAAATGTTATTATGAAATGTGAGTTAACATTCTTACTAACTGAAAACATTGTGAAATCCAGAGCTCCTTCATTTTATTTGGTGAAAATAAAGGTTACAATAATGAAGTAGTTGCATTTATTATATCTAGGTCTTGTTTTCATTTTCAGAGAAAAGAATTATTCACTGTACTTTAAACTTTTGCAAATTTAGCACATAGGAATATTTTATTAAATGGTCACTGATAAAATAATGGCTACATGAACCTTTCATTGTTATATCAATAATGAAAATGGTTGGAACTTTTTTTAATTTCGAGATAAATAACATTTCCAATTTTTGTTTGGAGATCATTCCTATATTTACTCATTAGAAAAAAATCATAGCCAATGTAAACAAAAATTTTTAAAAGGGAAGATAATAACCATATTACTCTACAAGTTTCTTGAGAACAGAGTCTACCAATTTCCCAACAAGTATAATCTTTCCACATAAATATATAGGAGATTTTTTGTGATAAAAATGGAATTAGATGATTATAAATTAAAAGTTCCATAGAATATAAACATGTTAACCATAAGTAAAAGAACATTAAATATTTATTGTGACACGGTTGTCCAGGTCCATATCAAGCAAGACCTATGCTGACAGACGGATGAGATTATGCACCATCAGGTTGGGATAGAGGGAAGACAGGTGTGGGGATCAGAAAGGATGGTGAGATAATTTGGAGTTATCATTAAAACACTAATGTATACATAGATGCAAAAAGTGTGATAGCTAAGGATCTCAACCTGTCCTCATGATTTATTTCTTTTTCATCTTTACTTCTTGCCATTGTAAAAAAATAGTATTCTTTTCTTAAGCAGATGTTCTTACCTTAGATTTTGTTGTAACTAGTTATATATAAGCTAAACTATTAGAATTTGATTCAAAATAATTTTTACCTTTCTGTCTCTTTATTTAGGTGTAATGTCCAGTACTTGGGATTTGTATGATTCTTATAATGCTATGGAGCTTTCATGTTTACCAGCAAAACAATCTATGCTTGAATCAAGTAGTAAAACAATTGTACCTTCTAAAGATCGAGAGCAAAGAGTACCAGGGAGTACTATAGACAAAAGTAAGATTTCATTTATTTCAGTTTTCTTTTTAAACGGAATGTTTCACGACTTTACATGTCATCCTTGCACAGGAGCTGTGCTAATCTTTTCTGTACCATTCCAGTATTACTATATTGCTGCCTAAGCAAGCACTCTTTCAGTTTTTTTAAAATGATGTTTTCACATACCATTGTAAATAAATTCTTTCTTAGCAGTTACAATACTTACTTTCTGGTGGAACATAAAACTACAACTTTTACTCAGAAATAGCATTGTTACTCTTTCACATCATCTTGGACTCTGAACTAAAAAATTTAATTTTCCTTGGATACCTGTCAAGAGTTTCAAAGATTCTATCTTCCTTTGTTGCTTTTTTACTTGCTCTTAAGTTCTCTTTCATATATATGGGAATGTGGGGGTTCCATAATTTTCTCTCTCTTTTTCTTTCTGTAGACTGTACAATTTCTAAGAAAAAGAATGTATGCTAACTTTGTGACAACTTAAAATGGAGATAAATTAACAACCATGGCTTTTAATTAGGGATGATTTTACCTCCCTCCGGGGACATTTGGCAATATCTGGAGACATTTTTGGTTCTCATGACTATGAGGACATCTTTTGGGTCAATGCCAAGGATACTACTAAAAATCCTTTGGTACACAGAACAGCCCCCACAACAAGAAACTAGAAACTGCCTGGCCAAAATGTAATACTACCAAGGTTGAGAAATGCTGCATTACAGCTTTATCTTTTAGTATTCTAAGTTTTGAGATTAAATGCTTTAATTAAAGTCAACAAAAAATTTTAGCTTTCCAAATATACTTAGTAATATGGAAGAATTTTTAAAAAGTCCAGTTATAAGAAATTTATTAAGTTCCATTTCTGATTGTTTTGTGGTTATACAGTTATACAGTTTTACTCTCCCTATTCTGAACTTCTGAGTCATTTTTCTTATAAAATGATATCACTACATATAAGGGTAGTTCTAATTTCAGAATAACTATGCCCTGACAAGTTTTGGTAAAGTTTTGGCAAATTGTCATAAAATAAATTAAAATATTTCTATTCTCACCCATTTTTACTCAAAGACAAATGTAATATTTAAAAATAGTAAATCAGGAAATATTTTTGAAAAATCAAGTTTAAAGAGAATTGATAATTTTTAGAAAATAATTACCTTATTTATAACTGACTACATTTCCTTCAGAGACTCTGGATCAACAGGACTTGCCACCTAATATTTTGGTCTATCATTGGATCTTAAGTTTAATATTTCAAAAAAATGAAACTTTAAATATGTTACCTATATTCTTTAGTTCTTAAAAATTATATTTACAGTCATGTATACTATAGCCATGTTTTCCTTAAAGTTGTTTATAATGAACACCAGTTTATTTTCTCGGAGAACAATGAAGGGAAAGAATGAATTATTAGTTATTATTAAAGAAACATTTTTTTTTGCTTAAATGTTAATGTCCATATAGCAGTTTTGCTTTTAGAAGCTTAAATTTTTCCTACCAAAAATTGCTAGGAAAAACATCAATCTTAGACTGAAAATTATATTGGGACTTCAAAATTGGATATACGTACTCCACCTCTATTAAGGCCATTGACACACAGAAAAAGTGTTAAGTGGAAGGTCCTAAAAGAAAATTGTCTCAATTTGTGGATTTTTTATTTCTTGTGTATATGGGTGTGTTTTTAAAAGCAAAATGGATAATAAAACCATATTCAAGAACTGTAATTCTAAATAAAAATATACTTTTTTTTTAGTATTATAGCCAATTAAGGGGATAGGGGAGACCAGAACTATTTTCTTATTGTTTAGTTTTTTGAATTATAAAGTAAGTCCTTTTTCAGATAAATATTTTGCAAAATTTTCTCCCAGTTTGGGACTTGTCTTTTCATTTTCTTAACAATCCTTCACAAACCAGAAATTTTCAATTTTAATAAAGTCCAACTTAACATTTTTTTCTCTTTCAGATTGTGTTTTTGGTATTGTATCCAAAAATTTATCACCAAACCAAGGCTACCTAGATTTTCTCCTATGTTGTCTTACAAAAATTTATAGTTTTGCATTTTATATTTAGGTCTAAGGTTCATTTCAGTTAATTTTTGTGAAAGTCATAAATTCTATGTCTACATTTTTTTGACATATGGATGTCCAGTTCATTTGTTGAAAAGACTTCCTTGAATTTTCTTGCTCCTTTGTCAAATATCAGTTGACTATATTTGTGTGGGTCTATTTCTGAGCTCTCTATTCTGTTCCACTGATCAATTTGTCCATTCTTTCACCAATATCACATTGTCTTTGTTAACTGGAGCTTTATAGTAATTCTTAAAATTGGGTAGTGTCAATCTTTGTTCTTCTTCAGTATTGTGTCAGCTATTCTTGGTCTTTTGACTCTCCACATAAACTTGAGAATCAGTCTGTCAACATCCATAAAATAACTTGGTGGGATTTTGATTGGGATTGCATTGAATCTATAGATCAAATTGGAAAGCATCGGCTTCTTAACAATATGGAGACTTCCTATCCATGAAAATTTATTTGTTTGGGTCTTCTTTGATTTCTTTCATAAGAGTATTGTAGTTTCCTTATGTAGATCTTGTACATGTTTTGTTAGATTTATACCTTAAGCATTTAACTTTTAGTGCTAATATGAATAGTAGTATGATTTTTATTTCAATTTCTAATTATTCATTAGAGGAAAGCCATTGACTTTTGTATATTAATCTTTATACTGTGACCTTGCTATAATTGCTTATTAGTTGGAGAATTTTATTTTTTTGACAATTTTTTTTGGGATTTTCTACATAAACAACTATGTCATCTAGAAAGTTTTTTTCCTTCCAATTTGTATAACTTTTATTTCTTTTCCTTGAATTATTATATTAGCTAGGACATCTAGTATGATGTTGAATAAAGGTGGTGAGAGGAGACATCCTAACCTTGTTCCTTAACTTAGTGGGGAAATTTTCAGGTTTTCACCATTAAATATGTTCGTTGTAGGTTTTTCATAGATTTTTTAAAAATCAAGTTGAGGAAATTCACTTCTATTCTTAGTTTCCTGGGAGTTTTTTTTTTAAGCTTGATTTATTTATTTTAGAGAGAGAGAGAGAGAGGGAGAGCATGCATGTGAGTAGGGGGAGAGGCAGAGGGAGAAGGAGAGAGGCAGACACCCTATTGAGCACAGAGGCAGACACCCTATTGAGCACAGAGCCTTACTCGGGGCTCAATCTGGGGACCTTGAGATGATGACCCTGAGATCACGACCAGAGCCCAAATGGAATCAGATGCCTAATCAACTCGGTCATCCAGGTGTTCCAGTTTCCTGGGACTTTTTATCATAATGGGTGTTAGATTTTGTCTAAAGAGTTTTTTGAATCTAATGTGATTTTCCTTCTTTAGCCTATTGATGGGATGGGTTACGTTAATTGATTTTTGTGTGTTGCACTAACTTTGTATACCTGGAACCAACCCTACTTTGTTGGAGTATATAATTCTTCTTATCCACTCTTAGATTTGATTTGCTAGTATTTTGTTGAGGATTTTTGTGTTGTTTTCATAAGCAATATTGTTCTGTAATTCTCCTTTTTTGTAATGTCTTCATCTTGTTTTGGTGTTAGAGTAATGCCAGCCTAACAAAATGAATTGGGAAGTGTTCCCCCTACTTATTTTCTGAAATGGATTGTATAAACATGTCTTAAATGTTTGATATAATTCACCAGTAAAACCATCTGGGCCTATTTTCGATTTTGGAAATTTACTAATTATTGATTCAATTTCTTTAATAGAGATAGGCCTATTCAGATGATCTATTTCACTTTGTGTGAGTTTAGGCAGTTTATTTCTTTCAAGGAATTGTTCCATTTCACCTAAGTAATCAAATCTGTGGGCATAGAGTTATGCACAGTTTTTCCTTATTATTCCTTTGGTCTATGGGGTCAGTAGTGATGACACCTCTATTATTGATCATACTGGCAATTTATATGTTCTATTTTTTTTCTTGGGTAACGTGGCTGATGATTGTGAATTTTATTGATCTTTTCAAAGAAACAACTTTTAATTTCCTTGTTTCTGATGATTTCCTGTTTTCAATTTCACTGATTTATGCTTTAATTTATATATATATATTTGTTTCCTGCTAGCTTTAGGCTTATGTTGCTCTTCTTACTCTAGTGCCCTGAGATGGAAGCTTAGATTACTAATTTTTAGATCGTTCTTCTTTTCTAATATATGCATTCAATGCTGTAAATTTCCCCCTAAGCATTCTTTTTGCTGCATCTCACGCATTTTGATAAGTTATATTTTTATTTTAATTTAGTTTAAATATTTTAAAATTTCATTTGAGACTTCTTCTTTGACCTATTTTTTTTGAAAGCAGAATGATATTCTATATTTTATTTTATTTTATTTATTTTTTTATTATTATGTTATGTTAATCACCATACATTACATCATTAGTTTTTGATGTAGTGTTCCATGATTTGTTTGCATATAACAAACAATGACCTATTTTTTTTTTAAATTTCCAAATATTTTGGGATTATCCAGCTATCCTTTTGTTGAATTCTAGTTTAATTCCACTGTGGTCTGAGAGCATATTTTGTATGATTTCTATTCTTTTAAGCATGTTGAAATGTGCTTTGTGGCCCAGAATGTGGTCTAACTTGGCGAGCATTCCAAGTGAGCTTGAGAAAAAGATGTATTCTATTAAAATAGTGTTTGGGATGCCTGGGTGGCTCAATCAGTTGAGCGTTTGCCTTCAGCTCGGGTCATGATCCCGGAGTCCTAGGATCAAGTCCCACATTGGGGGGGGGGGTTGGTCCCTGCTCAGCAGGGAGTCATGCTTCTCCTCTCCCTCTGCCCTTCGCCCTGCTCATACTCTCTCTCTCTTAAATAAATAAGATCTTAAAAAATAAAGTTAAAAAAAAATAGTGTTAGTCTCCAATTATAACAGTGGATGTGTCTAATTCTCCTTGCAGTTCTATCAGTTTTTGCCTTAAATATTTTGTAGTCTTGTTTTCCACTGTATAAATGATTAGGATTGCTATGTCTTCTTGGAGAATTGACTTCTTTATTATTCTGCAATTCTCCTCTTTATTTCTGATAATTTTCCTTGCTCTGAAGTCTACTTTGTCTGAAATTAAATATAGCTACTTCGTCTTCTTTTGATTAGTGTTAACAGTATATATTGTTCTATCTCTTTACCTTTAATCTATCTGTGTCTTTACATTTAAATTGGGTTTCTTGTAGATGATTTTTTTTAATGTGGATTTTATTATTATTTAGGCATATGGCCAGGTCAACAGATTAGGACACTACTGCCATTGAAAAGATAGCTTGTTATACTCACAGATCTCAAGAGGAGGAGACGTTGTATGCTGTGGGCTACACAGAGAAGCACCTAGGTTGGTCGGGAGGCAGAAAGAATGAGGGGAAAATGTGGCCAAGAGCCTTTGTTGTAGTTTCTGTTAGTAGAATGGGAGAACCCAGTCTAAACATATGGGTACTTAAAAGTAGAGACCTTTCTGAGCTGTGGTCATAAAGAGATGTAATAACGGAAGAAGGTTGGAGAGATGTGATGATGTTGCCTTTCAAGAAGGGTGTGGGTGGCCCCCAGAAGTTGAAAAAAATAAGGAAATGAATTCTCTAGAGCCTGTAGAAAGAACATAATCCTAATTAACTTTTTGGTTTTAGCCCAGTGAGACCTGGGTCAGACCTCTAACCTACTAAACTCCAAAATAATAAATGTGCATGGTTTTAATCCACTTAAGTTTTTGGTAGCTTATTTTAGCATCAGAAAAAAATTAACACAGTGGTGTAGCAATCCTAAAAAACAATAATCAAATCAGACCTCTATCTGAAGACTAATAATCTTATTTCAATTTGAATAACAATGTACAGAGATATAAATTACCTATATCATTGCTTGATAATGAGGTTATCATTGCTTATCTTCTGATAAACAGTACATTTTTGAATGGTTAAGAATTCCAAAATGAGATAATATATGTAAATCTTCCTTGTGCTTGGTACATAAAAGATATTCAATAAGTGTCATTGAAGTTGTTGAATATTGGAAGAGAACAAATAATACTGAAAAATGTGATTTTTATAATACTTAGAATACATGAATCATCTAATACTATTTAAATTATTTTATCATTGCATCATGTTTGTATTTTACAGATAGTGAAGCTAGTTCTTTAATGGATATAGAAAATGTAATTCTCACTAAAATCTATGATGATGAAGAAGATCACTCAGAGTCAATAATGAAATCTGACAAGTTTCGTCAGGATTTATTTTTTATGGAACGAGTTCTAATGGAAAATTTATTTCAGCCAAAACTTGCAGCTTATCGTCAGCTTCCTATTTTAAAAGGTATTTTTAAAAATCACATTTGGGAATGTCCAGGTGGCTCAGGCAGTTAAGTGTCTGTCTTCAGCTCATGATCCCTGGGTCCTGGGATCAAGTCCCACATTGGGCTCTTTGTTCAGCAGGAAGCCTGCTTCTCCCTCTGCTTGTACTCAAGCACTGTCTCTCTCTCTCTGACAAATAAATAAATCTTTTAAAAAAAATCACATTTTGATAAGCTCAAATAATTAAAAGAATTAAATGGAGTTGTTGTTTCTAAAGGTAACCTCTAGACTGGGTTATCACTTATCAAGACACATTTATACAGCTTTTAGCATTAAACATCCAAGTAACACTAGAGTTCAAACTTTAGAGCCCACAAAAAGAGGTAGTTCCTTAAATTAAAATCTTCAGAAGCTTCTGTGACTGTTTTCTCTCTCTTGCCCCTGCATTGAATTATTTTCTCATATTTAAAGCCCCTCTCCATTGCCATTGACACCTTCCAGGTTCTGGTGCTTATGACCTTTCTTTAATTTTATTGCAAGGGCATTCTTCCTGTTCTTATTGCTACAAATACCATCTCATATGTTCACAGAATATTTTGAAAGATTTTAGAGATTAACTCAACCTTTCAATTTTTGAATGAAGAGGAAGCACATAGAAACTTTCCAAGTTTAGTCCATGACAAAGCTAGGCATTCAAACAAGTTCTTTTGATCTCATTCCAATTCTCTTTCCACTCTACTCTCCTGGTGTGCTGATGTATCCTATACATGGCTTTGAACATGGTGGCACTTAACTGTTAAAAAACCTTCAGTAACTTCCCATTGCCTAGAATAAATTACAAACCCTAAGATTTTCCTTGTGCTATTTTCCAGTTAAATCTTACTCCCCATAAACGGGCATTTAATCTGATATTTCTCATCATAGATTAATTGTTTTGGTATATCATGTAAGTGGGCTCATATAGTAAGTACCTTTGATCCCTGAACAAGGCAGGGCTTAGGGATGATGACCCTGGCACAGTTGAAACTCCAAGTATAACTTTTGATTCCCCCAAAACTTATCTACTAACAGCCTACTATTGACCAGAAGCCTTACCAAGAGCATAAACAGTCAGTTAACACAAATTTTGTAGGTTATATGTATTATGTACTATATTCTTACAATAAAGCAACCTATAGAAAAGAAAATGTTATTAAGAAAATCATAAGGAAAAGAAAATACATTTACAGTTTTGTATATACTCGAGCCTGGGCCAGGGGCAGCAGGAAGGGCTGGTCCCAGAATGACAAACTTCGGCAGTCTGGTGGCCTCAGCTCAACAACAGCAGCTGCTGGGTGGGCCTATGGGTGGTAAAAGCAGTCTAGAGGCAAAATAGAGCTTTACCACTGCCTGGAATTGTATACCAGGTGTACCACCTGAGGTGACCATTTCAGCTGCAGCCAAACAGGAGTACACTTCTTTCTCTCTCTCTTTTTTTTTCTTTTTAAAATGCCTTTATTACAAATTTAAAATCTAGGGAAGCTCCTTTCCCCCCTACCTAAAGAGTTCATTAATATAGACATTGGAGCAAGTTCTTCATTTAAAAATATCATTTATGAATTGGTAAAAGATGATATCCATGGGCACCAATCCAGCTTCTCCCAGGCAGTGCAATCCTCAGACAGTCACCATGCCAAGGTCAGCAAGGTTACCTCACCATGCAGAATGTATAGGTTCATTCCTGCCCCAAAAGACACTTGTGGATGAGTCCCCACATTTTCCATTTGAGGTGATGTTGACTTTTCCTATCCCACTGGCCCTTGGACTGTTGCCCCACGTTTACTACCGTTATTCTTTTTCTCTTCTTGCACAAAGGTGAATACAGACTTTCTTTGAATATAGCAGGATATCGGGAGGTAACCAGTCATACATATTTAAATTTGCCGGCACATAAATAATTGAACTTTCGATGAGAGTACCCCATGGGCACTCTTCAATTCTGATTCCACAAGAAGAGAGATAAAGGAACTCAAAGAAATCCAACATCCCTCCAGTTACAGGGCAGCCAGTTCCCAAATAGATTTCATAATGCTGGGGTTTCTGGTAATTCAGATAAGGCTTTTGTTTAATTCTGACCTGAAGCTTGCGCTGGTTGCAGATTACAGACACAGCCACCAGAATCTGCACTAGGCCGGCAACAGGACCAAGGTCCATGGCTCCCCTGAAGCAACTCTGGAGGCCAGTGGTTGGAGGACTCTGGGGGACATGGGGCTCCCTGCACAATGCCATCACTGCCCTCTAAGTGTGTTCTTCTGCTTTAGCTCAACTTTCTGCTTGCTAGCCCTTGATGCACCACCTGGCCATCCTATCCTCACTTATGGCAACCTGCAGACCTTCCCTCAGTATGCTCCCCAGGCACTCATGTAGCAAGTGCTGCCTCTGTGCCAGTTGCCTTCCATTCCATCTTTAGAGAGTGGGGTGGACAGTTGTAAATAAATGCCTGTGGCTTTTGCTGTTAACTCTTTAGAAAAAATCCTACATATAAGTGGACCCACGCAGTTCAAACTTGTGTTGTTCCAGGGCCACTTTTATTCTTTTCTGTCTGGCTTCTTTCACTCAACATAGTGTTTTTGAGATTCATCAAGGCTGATGTGTGATAAGTGGTTCATTTTTTCCCCTGAGTACTGTTCCATTTTATGAATATATCATAATTATTTGAATATTCATTCCATCTGTTGATGGACACCTGACTGTTTCCAGTTTGGGGTTTTTATGATAAAGCTGCTATGGTCATTTTTGTGTCTTTTTGTGGGCATATGTTTTAATTTCTCTTGGGAAAATACCTAGAAGTGGAATCTTGGGTCATTGGAAAGATGCATGTTTAATTTTTTTAGAATTGCAAAATACCTTTCCAAAGTACTTGTCCCATCTTACACTGCCACAAGCAATGTACAAGATTACCAGTTGCTCTACATTCTTGATAACAGCTGATGTGGCAGTCCTTTTAATGTTGTCCTAAAGACTGATCATGTTGAATACTTATTCATGTGCTTTTTTTGGCCACTTACATTTCTTCTTTTATGTAATGTTTGGTCAAGTCCTTTGCCATTTTATTGAATTATCTTTTCTTTTTTAAAATCAAGTTATAGGAGCTTATTTTTATATATTCTGGAACAAGCTCTTTGAAAGATACATGTATTACAACTATTAAGTCTAAGTCAGTGACTTACCAATATATTTTTCTTTTGATAGCAGAAGTTTTTAATTTTAATGAAGTTGTATCTCAGTTTTTTCTTTTGTAGTTAATGTTTTCCATGTCTTCTCTAAGATATCTTCGCCTGCCCCGAGATTACAAATATCTTTGTCTTATTCCTAAACTTAAGAAAAAGTATTTAATATTTTGTCATTAAATATGATGTTAGGTATAATTTTTTGTAGATACCTTTTGTTGGTTTGAGGAAATTTCCCTCTCTTTCTAGTTTTCTAACCATTTTCAAAGATAAATGGGTGTTGAATTTTGTCCAGGATACCCAGGATGGCCAACACAATATTGAAGGAGAAGAACAAAGCTGGAGGACCCACACTATCTGACTTCAAGACTTATAAAGCTATAGTAGTCAAGGCAGTGTGGTACCTGCAAAAGAATAAACACATAGATCAGCAGAACAGAATAGAGAGCCCCCAAATAGATCCACATAATTATAGTCAACTGATCTTTGGCAAAAGAGGAAAGGCAATACAATGGAGAAAAGGTAGTCTTTTCAACCAATGGTACTGAAGCAACTGGTCATTTACATGCAAAATAAAGAATCCAGACACGGACCTTATATTATTCACAAAAATTAACCCAAAATAGGTCATAGACTTCAATGTAAGATGCAAAACTACAGAACTCCTAGAAGTCAACATAGGAGAAAATCTAAATGATCTTAGAGTATGGCAATGACTTTGGAGATTTAACACCAAAGGCATGATAAACTTCTCCTCTGTAAAAGGCATTGTTAGGAGAATGAGAAGTTAAGTCACAGACTGGAGAAAATATTTACAAAAGATATATCTATTAAAGGACTCATCCAAAACATACAAATATTTCTTAAAACTCAATAATAAAAAACAACATGATCAAAAAATGGGCAAAAGACCTTAACAGACACTTTCCCCCCCAGAAAAATATATACATGGCAAATGAGCATATAAAAAGATGCTCAACGTCATATCTCATTAGGGAATTGTAAACTAAAACAACAATGAGATACCACTACACACCTATTAGAATGATGAAAATCCAAAACACTGACACAACCAATACTGGCAAAGATATGGAACAAGAACTCTCATTCAATGCTTGTGGGGTTGCACAATGAATGGTTTAGCCACTTTGGAAGACAATTTGGCAGTTTCTTACAAAACTAAACATACTGTTACCATATGGTCAATAATCACACTCCTTAGTATTTACCCAATGTGGTTGAGTACTTATATACTCACAAAAACCTGCACACAAATGGTTACAGCAGTTTTATTGATAATTGCCAAAATGTGGAAGTAACCAAGATCTCCTTCAGTAGGTGAATGGATAAATAAATCATTGCATATCCGGACAATGCAATATTATTCAGCACAAAAAAGAAATAAATTTTCAAGCCATGAATGGATGTGGAGAAAACTTAAATGCATATTACTAAATGAAAGAAACCAGTCTAAGAAGGCAATTATATGGTATGGTTCCAAATGTATGACATTCTGGAAAAGACAAAAATATGGAGACAGTAAAAAGATCATTGGTTGCCGGGGAATTGAGGGCTGGGAGGAATGAATGGGCAGAGCACATAAGATCTTTAGAGCAGTGAAACTACTTTCTATGATACTATAATGGTGAGTACATGTCATTGTACATTTGTACAAACGCTTAGAATGTGCACAGCAGGAGTGAACCCTAATGTAAACTATAGAGTTTGGGTGATAATGATTTGTCATTGTGGGTTCACTGATTATAACAAATGTATCACTGGTGCAGGACAATGATTTTGAGGGAGGCTGTGC